GTGGACAAAATCCTATGGTGCGACTATTCAAATGAAATCTCTTTGGAAGTACTTTCATGTGGTGTTATTTGCTTTAAAAATATATTACACAAAAAAAGATGAAATTTGGGATTTTTGTCGAATTTCCCTTTGGTCATATTTGGCAGTGAAAGGGTTAAGGTATCAAAATATTCGATTTTGTGATAGAGATCTTGGGTGTGATATATTCAATGCAAGATGCATATTCGACTGGTTTAACAGGTACAATCTAAAAGAATATTTATTTAGCAAATTACAGCGATTTCCTCTTGGAGTCATCATTTGATGGATGTATAGCTAAAATAAGTGATCGATACCACATTAATTTGAACGAATGCTTGGTTTTTTAAAGAATAATATCTAGTCTTCGCTGACCTAAATGGAATGTTACTTGACCCGACATATATGTAACCGCACAATGGACCAAACAATGCAGCAAATATTTGGCTAAACATTAGCACACAAGTGCGATTAGTATATAAGGAAACCATCATTAAAGCCTTGTTGACAAAATAGTGAGGAACATAACGCAAAGGGGTTTCAATCTGAGAAGTTAATAAGTGTAGTTTTCATCATGACTAAATATATCCCATAAGAAGATCTTGATAGCCTTAAGGATTATCTCAGCTTCATGCAAAAACGTATTTATTTAAGGGTCTTCCTTGTCTAAACCCAGGCCCAAATTTTGTTTAAACTTGGTCATTCAACGGAGAGCTTGTCACAGCGCGTGCACGCACTGCAAACTAACTTCCCATTCTCGACCCAAGTGCTTACGCTTCTGAATCCACGCGTAGAGATTGACCAACTTCCGTTTCAGGGAAAAATAAGGAAACGATTCAAGTTCTGCTAATAAAAACATTCTAATGCCTGTCACGTCCCACATCACAGCGAACCAATCACAATAGAAAGATATATAAGAAAACTTAGAGGCACTGTTTTTGATATAGCCGTGAGAAAGGCTTGGTTTGCTTATAATATTTCGGTTGCCCTCTAGCTGAAAGAAAGAAAAACGTACACGTGTTTCAGTTTGTGGAAGAGGTCATATAATCTGCGAGGTGTTTTTGTTTGGGCTTTGACACAATTTTTGCAAGACATCAACAACTAAGACCACAAACCTCGTCGCAAAATAGTAGGTATTAATCTTTGCGTACCTTAGTTCCTATGGAATGTTTTACCATTAACCTAAACCCTGATTTAATATGAATCGCTAAGGTGTCTTTGCAATATGCAGCTTTTCTACAGTTTGGTTTGTTCTTACTTTACAGAGTTGCGTGGGCGTCACATTATGGACGATATTAAGCTGTAATATCTACGTTTCGTTTACATATTTTGCATTGAAAAGTTTGAAAAACGCAAAATGATTTAATATTTTAAAAATACATTATTTATGTGCATTTATACCTTCCATTGACTGTTCCGCAATATACCTATCGGTGTCTACTAGAAACACCAGCTAGCAAACGCGAAGGCTACTTGTCGCTGATACATGTGTAGTAAGAAATAATCATATTGCACTTCACTGATTCAGCGTTGAGCCATTGGAGTTACTATATTGTGCTTTTTTGATCATTATTCTCATCCATTGACTGTTTACTCAAAAACGTTCCCCATGCTTTTCCCGTAGAGCGTTATGATGATGATGATGATGATGATGATGATGATAAAAGCCTGCACATCGTTTACTTTAACTTGCAATTGTGGTCTTTTTGATTATAGGAAAAGTGCCATATTCTGGTTTGGGAGGCATAGAAATTATAGACTACTTAAAGGCTGGAAAGAAGTTAAAACAACCTGATGGATGTTCGGATGAGATGTAAGTCCTTATAATTACAATAATCAAGTATAATAATGATGATGATAATCATAAGTTCCAATATTTTACTTAAAATATTTGAAGTTTATTTGTTTATTAAAGTTTATTTGTATGATGCCATTTATTAAAACAGAAATTATGCAATCTAGAGACGATGCAATTTGGAGCAAAACTAGTTCGACCCCTGATTAATTTACACTACTGTTGAGAGCCAATCAGATTGCAGGGATCAGCAGTGATTTCAAAATAGATGTTACGAAAGCTGATATCCGAACACCCGTCTTTTCGAGTTAGCTCATAAACTTCTTAAGTTAACTTTCGTGACTTTACTTAATATTCAGCTATCAAATAATGAGGTCATGCTGGAACTTGGAACCTTCGAAACGTCCAACATTTCTCGAGCTTTTGACGTCACTTGAGCAAGAATTAGAGAAGAAGGGAGTAAGTACAAAATTATTATGGGGAGGGGGTTGAGTAAGATTATAAACCTTTGAGATAATATAAAGTCGAACATTCTATCAGTGCACCCTTTGTAATAAGTAGTCACTTCCAGGTCGCAGGAAGCGAAAAACAAAGCCCGATCTTAATAGGCTTAAACTTAGTTCCGTACCCTGTAGTTCGACCCAATAAGAGACCACCTCCTGTAAGCGACCACCAAATCGAGGCATTTAAAGTGACGTCTGAAGGACAAGTCGGCCGTATTTTTATAACAGTTGCTTCCCTTTAGCTTTTCTGTCCTTTGAACACGATCGATGAAACAACTGGTGTTGACCGTGCTTCGACAACATTTTTCTAGTCATCTGCCGCGAGGAGGGAAAAACTGTTAAAAACAACACATATTTGTGTATACAATTCATCTAAACCTTTTGTCCTTGAGAATTCCATTGGTAGATCTAGAGAGAGAACACGACCACTAGGCAGGGGCGGATCCAGGATTTTTTTTAGGAGGGGGTGCACTCGTCTCTTGCTCTACTTCAACACCAATAAATCACATAGTTTTTTTTTTTTTGCAGAATACCAGTTGTATTAGAAAACCGCAGGTCATCTCAGGGGGGGGGGGGGG